TTTTTTGGTGACCAAAGATCATCTGTCTATCAATTCATTCGTCTAATTCTACATTTATTTTGGCCAATAGCTAACCCAAAGTTTGCCTACTATTATTGGTTCCAATGCCTGTTGTCTCAATTTATCTTCAAAAACTACAAACTCCACATAACAGAACAGAACACTGCTGTTCTGGAGTATGGTCAAAGAGTAACAGTAAAAAATTGTGCAGTGATCGTCAGGCAGACTATGAGAAGGAATAAAGATGAATACTGATCTCTGTTCAATCAGATTTGATATTTATGAAAATTTTTGGAAGGAAATTGAGCTGCTGAAAAGAAGAACTAAACAGATTTTTTTCTTTTTTTTCTATGTAATGATATCGGTACACTGAAATATAGTTACCATAAAGTCTCTCCTTTCTTCTTTTCAACCAAAAGGAAAGCCAGAAAAGAAGTCTTTTGCTTGAATTAAAGCTATAATCTGATTGTTTTTTGCAAAAAATTTTTGATTTTATTTGACGATTTACATGTTGACAGTCTGTTAATAGCTTATTTGAATTTTCAGCTATTCTGTGGTATTTTGAAGATTTGTTGGAGGTACGTTTATCGGTGTATTTGTCATAATAAAGTTATCAGATACACTACAAATCGAATACTTTGTTTTAGTTTTACGCCAATTGACCAGCAGAAGTGTTGGTTGGTGTAACAGAGCAGTTTCAAATCTAAAAAATTTCTTAAGGAAACTGCTTTTTTGTATTACATTGGCAGATACTTTATTTTGGTTTCTGTATCACTGAAAATAGTGTTACAGCAAAAGTAATATCTGTGTAATTTGACTTACAAACAAATCTACTTTTTTTTTGTTTTACGATTATAATCATTTTTGATAAATTTATTTGTATTTATGTTTTCAATTTAATTTTTATTATACTTTTTACTTATCATTTTTACTTGCATACTGGTTTTCAAGTTTTATTTTCTAAATTTCTATATAAGTTTGAAATCTTTTTCTTTAAAAAATAATTATTTTCTGACGGTGTAGGATGAAAAAGATGTAAAATTTACACATCTACTTATCGAAGGTGTTTCAGTAATGCAAATACTGCTTTTCTTTCCTTTTTCGCCTTAACGGTGACAGTTAAAAACTGATGCAGACGCTGCATTTGGTCGGAGCAAATAAAATAAAGATATAAACGGCCTCTTAAATGATAATTACTCGACTTTTCAGTTTCTTACAATATTGAGTACTTTTTTGCTTTATTTACCAATATTGGCGATATTTGCGAGTAGTGGATTGATTTACTGTTTAAAAACTGATTAGTACCAATAGCAGTTGCCTTAAATGTTAACAAACTAATGGTTTGTTAATTGTCTCTAATAAAAAATTTGTTGCTGGTTAGGTAAGGCTTGAAGAATAAGATCAGGTTAAGCCTGGATAGGTCAGGAAAGAGTTACAGTAGATTGGATTCAGATATTTTGCTGTAGAAATTTCTGAATAATTGTTGTTTTTTATTAAAGGCTCTGCCTTTAAAAATTACTCTAATAGTTTCATTAAAAGTCACGGCACCAAACTTTGCTGCATGAGGAGCGATTCCAAGAAAAAAGGCTGTAAAAATACTTCAAAAGTGTACATTTTGCCGAATTTTGACAACATCTGTGATCAGGATACTGAAAATTTGATTTACTAACTGTAGTTCTATATCAGATTAATCAGCTAAGCATAAAGATGGTGGGTTAGTTAGAGTTTTTTGATCGGAGAGAACGAAGAGCAGATGGAATAAAAAACTAAAAGAGACTAATTGAAACGATTATGAACCGTTTATCGCTAATATCTTGCTGACAGATTTAAAAATATCGTTCAGTAGGCAATATCAACAACTTGAGCTTTTCTTTTTTGACGTTACCTTTATAAAATTACATTTTCTTTATTGTAGCTAATTATTAATGTTTTTGCAGATATTTTTTGAATGTACATATGCCCTCGGTAAGCTTTAGAGTGAATCCAGAATATGCAGATGTCACTGAAATTGTTCCTGGATTATTCGTATGTGGTGTAAGCGCGTTGACTCTGCAATGTATGGAAAAATTAAATATTACTTTGATCATTAACGCTACTGAAGAAGCAAGTTTTTTTTTTTTTATGGCCTATCATTTTTTCTTCAATAATTGCTTTCCTTCTTTCAAGAGCTGAACTTCTATTTAAATGTAACATTTTAAAAAATGAGATTAAATAAAATGCAATACATCGAGTTTCGTGGAAAAAAATGATGATAAAAAAGCTTTTTTGCTGATTACAACATTTAAATTAGAATTCGCTGATCTATTTTTAAAGCAACATTTGTGCAGAGTAGTATGTCTTTAAAAGTAAAAATATGTTTTTTTTTTTTGAAAAATCAGATTTTAAATATTTAATATTTTCTAATTTTATTTTTTAGGTGCCAAACTTTGCTTCATTAGGAGCGATTCCAAGAATAAAATTATGGATTGAAGATACTTCACAAGCGTACATTTTGCCACATTTTGATAACATCTGTGATCGAGTTAGTAAAACTTTGATATCTATTCACTGCTTTTTTTTTTTCTATCGACAACAATACAATAAAAGATTACGGTTCCTGATATTGAGAATTTTTTTGTAGCTAAAATAAAAGTGTAAAAATAAGCAAATTTCATGTAACATTCTAACTTTAGCCAAACATATGAACTTCGGTTTAAGCCTCAACAATGCTCGTTCAACAAAAAATAACTTTCAGATACATGCCGAACTTACAGACAATGGTAAAGTACTGATACACTGTGTTGCTGGTGTTTCACGTTCCGCAACACTATGCTTGGCATATTTAACCAAATATAAATGCAGATCGTTACGGGAAGCATATCATTTAATGGCATCCAAAAGACCAATGGTTAGACCAGTTGTTGGATTCTGGAAACAGCTAATTTCATTTGAGCAGGTAAAATATGAACGATTTTTTTCATGAATAAATGATTATGCAGATACACATACGTTATTTGGTTCTATGTAATTCTTAAAGGATTAGGCAAATTTTCTTGAAATGTATATATTAGTCTCTTAAGAAATATGCTCTTTTAATATAGTCAGCCCTAAAGTACTTTCGATGTTTAAAAAAGTTTGTTCAATGTCCACAGCTATTCAAATGAGTAAGTTGATTTAGGAAGTTAAAAAAGCTCCGGCTACTGTAAAATTGATTTCTGACGAAAGCCAGTCAGAAAAACTGCTGCCCGACGTATACTTGAAGCATATATTTCCAGCAAGATCAGAGGTAACTTTATTGTTGATGACAAATCCACCTCCCTTCTTTTAAACACTTCAAAACTTTACAGAGTTTTGACTACAAAAAAACTTTTTGCAAAACGATTTGTGCCAAAAAAAGTAAGATACAGAAAAAATTCATTTTTTTGAACATTATTGAGTGTACGTTTCATTAAACTGTGACTTTATTTTCTGTAGGGTCCAAACGCAGGAAAGGATGAAAAATATGAGAACAAAGCCGTTGGTGGAAAACGAAAATTTCAACCAGTATTAGAAACATTAGCTGAAACAACAGAAATGGTCACTACAATTCCTTCATCTGTTTGCCCTTTAAAAAACCCAGGTTTTTAAACGTCACTGGTTCGACAGTCAATAGGCATATCTACACAAAATTATTTTCGGTTAATCCGATTTATAAACTTATATTTTCTTGCTTGAACGACCTTTACTCAGTAACTAAAGATACACCAAAACTGAAACGAGTCAATGTCTCAATATATCCAAAAAATTTGAAAAATTTAACATTATACTCTATCAAATCAACTTTATTACAGCTAAGCAAATTACAGCTCCCACTGCAAACGTGTGAAAATCTAAGTGGCCGAAAGTGTCGAATATCAGAAGCATCATTTCCCGACAAAGCAATCTGATGGATACACCAAAAATAGTGGAAAGCACCTTGAATTTGTCTGTTATACATCTGTAGCATTTTGTTAACCTTTAATTGAATACTCCATTTGGTACCAGTTTTTTCTTCCCTATTGTTCAACAACTATGCATCATCTCTTTATTCTTCATTCCTGAAAATTCGGTTGATTTTGTAGGATTTTTTTAAAAACCTTCAGATACAAGTGGAAGGGGGGCCTAAACAGTTAAACATAGCCAACACTTATTCTATTGTACCATCTAGTCATATGTTTCGGGTCAGTATGAGAAAGATGTCGCAGTAGTCAGTGCATCAAAAGCCCTAAAAATCTAGTCTTTTTTTCGTTGATTCCAGTGGTCGCAATTTTTCTTTACTTGCAGCAAAACAATTTAACTGTAGCACAACCGACTCATTAAAATTTTTTGAAAAATTACAACCAAAGACGGGTATAACTTTTCATAAGTGTATTTTTGTTTCTCAATTCAGGTCCCCATAAGTGATTCGAGCTTAATCCACCAAAAAAATCCATCTTTTCATTTATGTCTGCTTTCTTTTAAAGTGGAGAAGAAATATGTTCCTTATATGTAAATATATTTATGAATATTTGTTGCAGCCTATATCCAACGTTTCCAGATGTAGTACATCAAATTTTGTTCAAAAAGCGTAATTCCCCATATCGTAATTTGAAAATTATTTCTTTAAGATCTAAGTTATTACTATTACCAACAAAACCGATTTGAAGACAAGTAACACAAACTGAATCAGTTATAGCAGTTTCTTACTTAAAAACGAGTCAGTCAACAAGTGAGTGACAATAAGAGTTTGAAACACAGCAAAATTACTTGAAGAAATTGATCATATATGGAACCGCATTTATTAAAACTTCCTTCTCTAAATGTTAAGAAGTGATTTGGTTTAACACATTAAAATTTATTGAGAAGGGTTTGAACCAAAAAGATATTACCACAATGTGCTCAAAATCACCAAAAATTTAGTGAGAGACTCGCAACCAAGAACTTCTATCCCTATAAAATTTTGCCAAATTTGGCAGCTCTCGCAAACAGAATGAAATCGTTGTCTTCAGGTGACTTAAAAACGAACGCTTACAAGCTCCAAAAATCTCTTTAAAAAAACTCCATACCGCTAATCATGTCAATAAATACCAAACAAAAGAAATGCGAGTACTGCAGCAAAAAACTTTACAAAATCTTAAAAAAAAAAACACAAAGTGGCTTCATTATAATTTAAAACCAGCAAATTGATAATACCTTACGCAATTTAAATTAAAATTCTTTTACAAGGCATTCACAACTAGATGAGATTTAAGTTTCGGCAAAAAATACACAGAAATAATATGAAAAATTATATTCAAATTTTCTGCACTAGATAAAGAATATCACTGAACAGTGAAATGCTATTTACCTTCACAGTTCTAATTACCCAACAAAAACCCAAACAATCATAAGCAGAAAATTATATGCAGTTAGTATGCCCTTGAAAAGTAACAAAGAGAACCTCACTCCAAAATCATACAACGTTACCTAAACGATGTAAAACTTTGAAACAGCTCCCTCAAACACTGTTGTTGTTCCAAAAAGATAACAACTTCTGTAAAGATCCACTTTACGCAGAAGAGGAGAACGATCTAAGTGAAATGTTCATAACCGAAGAAGGTTCATAACAAAATCTAACTGAGGAAGAAAATTTGGTGTAATAACCTCTACTTTGAGATGTTTTCCGCCTTTTGCTCTAAGATATCAAGTGCACTTAGCAAACGCTTTAACACTTTCTCCTCAAAAACGCATCTTTCCAAACCACTGTAAACAACAGCTTTCCTACGCGACAAACTGCTTCTGCCGGCAACGTTCCGCCAAAGTTGGCAAATAGTTGGTGTGAGCTAAAATGCACATTTAAAAAGTTAAACATTATGATGTTATTCGTATCGAGCAGAAATACTATTCTGGAAGCAACGTACGTTCACAGGGTCTAACAAATGAAAAAGTGCCAAAGGAACTGATAAAAATAATGACCAACATACTGTATCTGCAGCTGCGATACTCACTATAAGCTCCAATAACTCCATTGACACCATTTTAACATGACTTCCAGCAGTTTGTAAAAGCTCCTCCAATTTTGCAACTATTATTTTCTCTTTTTCAGAGATAACACTAAGAAACTCTTGACTACCTCCATGAATAGAATCATTAGACTGCACAGTTCCAATGTGGTATGGCAACACAGGCAGCCTCATTGTAGAGAGGTAATTTAGACATTGTAATAATAATCGCCCGTGTTCCAAATAATGGCCATCCCAGTCATATCTATAAAGATCTACTTTCCTGCCAAATTTAAAAAATTGTACAACCGAGTAACAAAGCTAACCGTTCTTCACAATAACAGCACATAAACAACAGTTTAGGTGAGGAGCTCAACTGTGCACTTAAAAAGCAGTGGAATAAAGAAAAAAACTATTTTCTTAAGTGAAAATCAAAAGCCAATTCAGAAACAATAATGTACCTACCGGCTTATAGCATTAAAAAATGCGTTGAAAGCGTACAGTGGCACCTTAGATGGCGAATCAGGGACCAAAACCAAAAAAGCAAGAAAGCATGATGATGCAGAATAAAACTGTTCAGGACTAATTTTAACACTTTCCGCTAAAAGCTCAATACAACACTTCACAATTGCATCAACCTGAAACTTCATAGGCGTATTAAAATAAAAAATCGCGCCTATAATTTTCGAGCAGGAGAAAAGATGATTAGAAATACAGTTTCAAATGGTCTCCACTGTAAGAGAAATTTAAAAGCATTCCCAAAATATGAGTTGGTAAGAAATCCTTTCCAGTACATACGTTGGTATAAAAAGAAAATTCATACTTGAGGCAAGGCGTTAGCCATAAGTCCAAAAAAGCCACACTGTAGATAAAGGTAAAGCCGCTGTACGGAATCGATTATGGATGCTATTGTGATAAAAGCGCTCGCTATGCAAGCGCGCAAAAATAAAGTTCCTGTTCGAGATATTTTTCCCACTTGAGTCAAACTACTACCAAGACTGCATATTCGCGTCACCAAATACTGTTACAGAAAATTGAGAAATATTAGAATTCAACTGTTCACACTTTACTTCCAGTAATAATTCATTTTAAAGTCAATTTCATTATGAGAATTAGGAACAATATATTATGCAGTTTGAAAATAAATTAAAAAAATTTTTGAAAACTTCTTTTTCTAAGCAGTATTACTGCTTAATTCTTTTTGCAATAATAATTTTAATCAACTTACAGCGATGACATCGTCATTGTTTGACAAAGCAGAGCGGACATCAACGTAAAAATTTAAAGCTCTTTCTGGTTCTTTATCAAGGAATAAACGGTCTAGAGACCTTTTAATAAGATTTGATGTAAAGATAGCGCGATTTTTATCGGCTTCAGCGAAAAGAGAATCCTGAAGTTGCTTGCACAGAAGGAGAACCTGAAAAACTACGACCAGTACAGCGCTTCCCAAACTACGATTCAAATTTACTCAGTCTTCACTGAGACCAGAAACCATTATAACAAAATACGAAGGAAGAACAGATATTACGAGCCACCTGATAAGCAACATTGAAATTCTCGCAAGACGATATAGGATGCTCATTGACAAATGCTTTTAAAATCATTTTTGAGCACCTTGCCCTGTCACTCCCTTCAAGAACAAAATCAAGCAGTTTAATGAAGTGGTCTGAAGAAAGAAGTTCAATAATGTCTTTTCTGTTAGCGACGACAAGCCCAACTAATTGTGTCACGTATTCACTATGTTGACGACATTGCTAAAAATATCTTGTGAAAGAAACAACAGAAACATGAACAAACAATAAAGAATCTTCAACTACCTTGCTTTCGGAGAGCTTTTTTTTGAAACCCTCAATCATAACATCAACTGTGCTTAGTGAAAAAGAAGCAGCAGCAAATCCAACCCATACCACACTGCATTCCAAAAAATCTTTAATGTTCGTAAGCTTGCTGTAAACAAATTAAAAATTACAGTGGTGAAGTTAAAGAAACTTTACTACTTGCACAGAAAACTGACATAATCCGCTGCCAAAGAGCTCTCAACAAAGTCCTTTTAGCACCTTCTGGTGTTTCCCCCTTCATTAGTCTTTGGCCAAATATTTTTACTTCCTCTACTAACAATTCGTCGCCTTGCAAAACCTAAAATTAATTAGACCATATTCTTTGAAAAAAAGAAGTTTCTCTTTTGTGCATTACTGATGCTAACGGCGACAGCATGCTCGACAATCAACTGACCAGCTCACAAAACTCTGTTGCATGATTGCAAAGATAAGTAATGGCGACAGATGATAAAAATGGCTTTAAAAGCAAAGTTCGTTTTTCTGAAAGTCGGCAGAAGTTCCAAACTGGAAGCATTTCCTCACATGAAACCGTACGATACGACGCGCATTGAATAATCCATTCAAGAGCAGGTGTCAAAATTGATGCCTAAGGAATTGTTCTTTTAACATTTTAATAACAACGCAGAGAACCACTTCGACAATACTACAGTGGTTGAACTGCAACACGAAGAAGACAGTATTAACTCTTTATAAGTCAGTTAGATTGCTTAGGGGTCTAGTTATTGAAGATCAACACGAAATGAAGGAGAGAAATATTTAGAAGCAATCAACAGCAGAAATTCGAAACCTGCAGCGCACCAGACGACACTTGAAGCGCAGTGGAAGACAAATTGATCCAATCATTCAAGCATTTCCAGTGAGGAGTTGAATCGTTTGGTGCTATCCTCATGGCAATACGACAGATATAGGCACGCGCATAGGTAGCTACAAGAGGCTGCTGAATATGGTTCGTCATTCCACACAGTCGTTGAAAATTTTTAGATAACGCTTCAGGATCAAAAAACTGCATACAACCGATGACAGATGACTCAACTGGAAATTTCAAGAGTTGTTTGACTTACATTGAGACACAGCAACGAAGACCAAAAAAGAACCACAGAAAAGAATAAAAATTTAAAAAAGAAACTAAAAGAGGCTTATAAAATTGAGAACCTATCACTGAAAAACGATATTCTCCTTTTTCAGTAGCAGTAATAACCTTCAAGTTGTCAAGCATCAAGCAAAACTAGTTATTAGTGATATGAAACAATTTACTTAGAACTAATCTGCTGTCAAAGTAAAGAAATATTTTACTAAGAGGATGAAAAGTATTAGATTTTTCCAGCCCGTCCTTGCGGCTTTTCTTCTTCACTTACTTCAACGAAAGACTAACCGTATACCCTAGGTAAAAGTTCAGTGATAGTCCCGACTTTACAGAGCCAATTTTTTGCCACTTCCTGAACTGCCTCCGGGATATCTTTCAGAGAGAAGCCATCTGATAGTTCAGCCAATCCAAGATCTTTTAACTTTTCATTCGCTTTTGATAATAAACGGTTATAGACAAGTTGGCCGAAAACGTCAAGAATGTCAGTTACAAGAACAAATTGGCTAGGATAAAACTGAGGAGATGACGTAGAGGCGAGAATCCGAGCAATATCAGTCAAGATCTAAAAATCACTTCAGGGTATAAACCAATCAATAACCAGCACATGGTTAAGTAAACCTAATAAGAGAAAAGTATTTACAGAATTTTTCATTCAACTGAAAAACAAAGAAAATTTAATAAGCTCTCAAAAGCTTTAAAATTTCTTGTAGAAGAAGCATTTGAAAGTTGTAAGAACCGTTAAGGCTTCAACTCGCTTCTCGCATGACCACGCAATGAGTAGCTTATGCCTTAAATCGTTCAATACACGAATGTGTTCCTGCTGAGAAAGATCTGCATACTTCTTCTGCCCCGATTTATCTTCGAACTGCTGCATCCTAAAATTTATTAAGAGAACTAGAACTTTTAAAAAAGAAGAAATTTTAAAATCTACGTTTCGAACACGACTAAAAAAAAAAATTCCAGTTTGGAAATCACATTGCATGTAATTTCTGTACAAAACAAGCAATCCCAACATCGCTAAACCAGATAAAATGCAAAGTACTGCCTACTTCGCTTCAAAACCAATAACTTCATAAATTTTCACTTAGGAACCTCTATTAACACCTAAGTACCTCTTTGAAAAACCGAAGTCGAAAGCGAAAGATTCAACACTTAGTTTAAAGATTTCAAAAGTGGATCAATACTATAAGACCAAACTCACCTTTGGAACTGCCGGTTTAACATCGAAACTTGAGTTTCAAACGGTATTCCACTGGGAAGAACACTGGTTTTAATAGTCAACTTTTCAGAGGCTTCAAATGTTTCAAGTATCGTTTTCCTTTTCAAGGACCAAGGCTCAAAACCATCTAGATGCTGCAAGTAAAATTAAATCGGCAATTTGAATTAAATAACTTTCCCAAAACACCGTATTTTTTTCGGTACTGCCAAAAAATATGACAAGATACTTCCATGCAGACCTACATTTGCTGCAAAAAGAAACATCACTGTAAAAAGACAATGCAGCAATTTCAAGTCAACAATAACCTGAGCGAACCGTTTCATCCACTAAGTATTCGTCGTTGTCCATAGCCAATGTATTCACTAAAACCGAACTTTTCTCCGACTTACTCGACATTGTCTCATCCTCTACTCTGCTAGTGCTTAAATCCTTATCTTCATCAATTACCGCACCTATAACAAACACCGTCAAAATAAACTTATTCACATCTCCCGACCTTATGGTAATAATAATATCAATAATAATAATAAACTAAATTTCGAGAAAAAATTCTTGTGTAATTTTTTCCTTTTCTTTTTAGTTCGTTGAGTCAACCGATTGATTAAAAAATCAAAAAAGCTGTTTGACGCAACTGATTCTTTAAAGCTGGAGCTTTCTCGGTACCTTTACAATAAACAAGAACTATTACGGTTAGAATAAACCATCAGAACAAGCTGTAATGAAACTTTAATTGTTAAAGGAACCTAAAGGATCGACAAATCCCAAATCTCCACCCGGAGACTCTGAGGCTGGCAGTGCGGTCCCCGCACTCCTCGACCTCCAGCGTTTAGTTAAAGGATCCACGAGCACCTCAGCAACACTACTAAACAGTTCCGGCCTCTCCTTTTCCCATTCCCTGACACACCATTTAAAACCAACAGAATCCCTTCCTACTTCAACAGGCATGATGAGCGTCAACAGTCTACCGAGAGCAACTCAAATAAATCATCTAAAACCTGCAAATTTTTCACAAACTCACCGACAAAAACTACAGCAACGATTGAAAAAAATCATTCCAGTAGCAGCATCTTAAATGCACGCACTTCTCAAACTAAAACAGACCAGCCTTTTCCATCTTCTAAAGTTTTCAATTTTCCTTTGAAAAAATTCACTCAGCCCCTGCTCAATACCTGAATCACGTAGGAACGATGACTAGCTACACCCACACAGACAAAAATCCAAGCAATATCTCCTCTTAGAAAAAAAAGAAAGATAAATGGAGAAACAACGCATATTGTCCACCAAAACGAGTACGACGACCAACACAATAAGGAACCGTTGTGAGATCTTTATATAATAGTATCGGTGGTTACATCCACAAATGCAGCTACTAATACAAACAAAATACGAATAAATAAGCACTTTTACTCTTCACCAAATGAATTTCGATAAATTCTGGCGTTTTAACAAAATAAGGCAACGTATTTCACTTCAGATCGTCGAAAATATATTAAAAAAAAGAAGTCTCATCAACGCTAATTCCTACTTTTAAAACAGTGACCATTAAGACGTCAAAAAACACAGCAAAGGAATTTCAGACGCCAGACGCTAAAAGTTTCAGAACTTAAGAATGTGGTTTCTCTTTTGGAAAACACCTTAAGTAAATCATATTTAATCCAGTGTAGATTCAAGGTCAAGTCAAATAAATAACCATGTGAAAAATATGATTTCAACATACAGTCACTGATGGAAAAAACTCACTAAAGTTGTAAAGAAAGCAGAAAAATAAGCCACTGACACAGAAAGACCGCTACAGAATCCATACCAGGATAACTGTTAACCTACAAACAGTTAGACCTAAATGTTGGAACATGTCCACATGTTGGCAGGAACTGATGCCAACAAGAGCTATCGTTTCCATTCGTTTTTCTCGTAATCGTAATTAGCAGTGTCCGGTATTCCTTTGTTCAAAATAAGGTGCTTTTTCAACATATTTTCTCTGTACTCGTTCTCGAAGGTGCCAGGTCCAGAAGGGTACGCTAAAACTTACATTAAGCTAAAAAACTAGCTAGTAACAAAAGTTTTTGAAAGCTCTAAAAACCACTAATGGAACAACAAAGAATTTTGCTCAAAAAGCTAATCAGAAAAAAATGAGTAGTGCGAAATAAGTGGGAACAAAAATCGATAAAACAAACCATAATGGTTTATAAATGTCATGTAGAAGATCGATATTGCTGTCAACGTCAGAGTTGCAGCAACAACAAGTTTCCAGTACCCGGTTGGTGCCTCAAATTCTGACAACGTTTGTTTGAAACTGTACCTGTATAACAACTTTTTCTCTTCCTTCGTTAAATTCTTCCAATCTAATTTTTCTTTGGCTCTAATAGGTTTAATAATATCATCTTCTTTGCGAAACCTAATGGCTGGGTACCAGTAATCGTATCTATCTTGATAAACCTGAAATCTAACACATCATCCAACCAGAAGTAAATACCACGCTGGCTTCGGAATTAATTCAGAACCAACCCCCAACCTTTAACCAAATTAAAGTTATGATTTGAAAGTATTCAATTTCTGACAACTGGAATTTGAAAAAAAATATCTTTTGAACTGAGCAAGGAAAAGAGGCGCAAGGGAATTTTACACCAGCAGAGTTATGGAATTCAATAAGTAAATACAAAAAAAGAGAGCTAATTCGACATATAATGCTAAATCCATGTCGTCCTAAAATCAAGAAATTAGGACTCTATAGGTTCCTGTCTATTACTGTAAAATATCAATAAGGTTAATTAGTAAGGTTAACAACCGGGTCTCCTAGAGCTCCATGTCCAACTTCTTCTCTCCCTGCAGCTCTCTCAGGACCCCACCAGTGTTCTACGGCACTTGACAAACTAGAAGTGGTTTGAAACCCTCTGGCTAACACAAAAAGTGGAATAGGGTTTCGTCGAACCAAGCCAAAATGAATCGACATCTCCTATAAAGGAAGTTGACTGCTTAACAGAATTAACCCCCAAAGTGCGAACGAAAGCAGAAATAAGACGCGTAAGAACCTACGAAGTTTCAAATACATTAAAACACCAAAACAGAGTATTAAATACGGATAAGAATTATACGGAGCAATGCGAACAGGTCAAGCACTGTTGTTAGCATTCAAGCAAGGAATACTCTGCAAAATAATAACAGAAACAAACCCATTAAGGATATAAAGCAACCAAAATTTACAGTTGCCCTAATAAATGAAATCAGCTTGGTAAACATCGAAAATAACGTCGCCTTTGCTGCCGCTCTAGAAACCCATCCCATGAGAAAATGACTTAAGTATTCTTTCTTTTCAGTTCTTCCATTTGAAAATTTTCAGCTTTTCGAACCTTCATTGCTAGTTGCAGACGTTTAATAAAGAATGCCTGCATCAACCATAAAAGTTGAATTTCTGCAACTCACTTTCATTAATTTTTGCATCAATTCAATGTTAGACTTTAGTGCAAAATCATCTCATTAGAATGAGAGGTTAAAATATGAAATAAGAATTCAATTTCCCAAGGTCTTCTACTTTTTTAGCAACTCAGCAATTTTTTAAAGATAATTTACTGTGTTTTATCAGATTAATCAGAAACTATTGAAAGAGTTTCAGAAGAATCTTACTGTAACCAAGTTACATCATATGGCATCATTTGAAAAGAATTACTGTTAAAAAAGAAAAAAGTAGTTAAATGGTTATACAAGTTATTCAACAGCCACAGCCTTTCACCAATAACCAACAACCAGTTTCCAAAATACTGCCTCCCCTTCAAAATTTCTATGGGCAGAATTGTAGCCAAATCTGATAAGTCAAATTTTAAACTAAAAGTAGACCAGTTATAAGTGAAGAATCAGAATAATAAGTAAAGACGAATATTCAAATTATCTTACCAAGTAATACCCAGGAAACCTCATACTCCACTTTTTTAACTTCAATAAGATAAATGAAGCACTAAAGATTAAGATTTTTTCGTACAAATACCGACTATCTTAGTAAGTAATATCTGAGTAAAAGCAAGCAAGCCCGCTAAAAAAAAAAAAATTAGTGAATGGTTGGAAACTGAAACCTGAAAAACAGGTGATGCACCTACAACAACCTCAGCCGCCAACCCCTGTGAAGATGCTAAATAGAAGTTTAGACCTACACAAATTATATTATGTATATGTATCCGGTTCTGTCCGTCTATAGTTAGAAAAAATGCAATAAGAGACATAAGAGGGCGCTAGCACAGCTGGCAAAAGTCCAAATCAATTCTCGTGAGACTCCAAATTGAACAAAATACATATTTTTACATAAAAGTCAGTAAAAAGTGCAAAGATTTGAAATAACAACATGACTAAAGTGATTTTAATCTAGCGTGGTGCCACTATTAGGACTCGTATATCGCTTCAAATCTTAACAAAAAATTCCTTTTCTTCCGTTTTTTTCTTTAAATCAAAAACGCAAAACCTACTAAACACCAGCTTATATTCAGCGTTAATTGCGAAGAAAATAAAAAACGCTGCAATTACCAGTAACAATTGTTTGAACTCACAAATTTAACAGTGAAGTCGGTGAAAAAATATAAAATATTAATGGGGATTCTGAAACAACAACAACAACAACAAATAAATTACTGATTTCAAATTGAACCTCGGATAAAACTGTTACCAATCAACAACGACGTTGTAACAACAAATATGATCCTAATGGATTACTCTTCAAATTGTACCGCCAATGTAACTAACCTACGAAATCTGCCAAAAACGCTCCTTCCAGCACTTTGGGATCTACTGTTTCTCCAATAACGATAACAGAAATCGGTAACGCAGGTGAGGAACGCTGCGACAATTGCCCAAATGGGACGTACGAATTTCTAGTGCAGTTTGAACAGAATGACACAACATATTCAATATCGACAGCTACTAATGTATTTTGATGACTACGGTTCAACAGTCTCTCAACCTTAGAATCCTTAACCAAACAAAAGAAAGTTAGTAAAAAGTGATAAATTACTGATAAAAACCAATAAAGTAAACTAAGTACAACAGTACTGAAAACCACTGTAATCTTAAAAAATCACTTGCCCTTTATGCCGTCACTTGTGATCGACTGATCGCCGACTCATGACTACAGTAAATGAACACAGCCCTGTAGGTCAACCGTTCGTTCATAGCAGCCTTATTGACAGCCTCCCTACACCAGCCACACCGACAATGACGACTGACGGATCTCTGTCTCAGCGCCAGTGTTGCACCGCATTTCGGCCCTTGCCGAATTGCTAACAATGTGCTGTCGACAACGATTGTTTCACTCCCAGATCTAAGTATATATGAATAGCGATAACTGCAGTACATGATATTTTATTTTTCTTATTTATCTTATTCTTCTTTCCTATCGCTAAAACAAAACACTGTTCAGTCGATGTAACACTCATTAAATGAACTTCATTGCTTCTTGCTAAAAACTTGTTTTTTCAAATCATTTTTATAAACTGTTCATCAACCAAAACTTATTTTTCGCTTATCTCAATGCTCTAGAAATTACAAAACATCTAAATAATTCAGTTACCAAATCCAAATCTTACTAATACAATGAAAAATATCAGTTAATAGCTCTAACACACACCGAATGATTTATAATTTGAAGGTGTAGAAAACTAAAATACATCGTTTTCAAGCAGTGATTGTACTAATTTTTGCTTCACCACCATCCCCAATCAAACGTTTTCACCTACACATCCGATCTTTTCCCATCGTATACTGCTTTTGTCGACACCAGAACAGGTTCCTAACCTAAATTTAGTTGTTGCCAAATCCCCTTTTCCCTATTTGAACAAAATCTCCAAAATCTTTCATTGTTCAGCCAGTTGCTTCATAAAGAAACATTCTTACAGTAGAATATAATTGAATTTATACCCAGCAAAATGGAATTGATTATGCACCAAGTTAAAGTTTCAAAAAAAAAAAAAAAAAAAAATCCGAATTAGAGCTAAACTTTACCCGTCATTATAGAATCCTTACGACAGCAGCGCATTTGACCGCTACTTTCACTGAACAAGCAATTGAAAAGTGCATATATATATTATTACTATACTTATATATATATATATATATATATATATATA